CAGCCCAGTCATCAGGCAAAGGTCAATTTACATATTAGTTAAACAAAACTATCAAGCTCCAAGTTGGGATGGAGACATCATGGTATCTACACGCAGCAGGAGAGAGAAGCTTGGTCTGAGTTTTACTTCTCAAAGAGTATGTTGCAAAGGTTTACTGGGCTATAAAGATAGGGGAGCTGAACCTCAAGCAATAAGCAATTGAATCAACTGATTGTATACAATATTATATCCACTGTTACTATATTATGAAAGTGTATTGAGTGAGATCTTCCATTGAAGCCTATTACACACAATATGATCATGACAGGTTTCAGAGTAGCAGCCGTGTTAGTCTGTATCCGCAAAAAGAAGAACAGGAGTACTTGTGGCACCTTAGAGACTAACAAATTTATTAGAGCATAAGCTATCGTGGGCTACAACCCACTTCTTCGGATGCATATAGAATGGAACATATATTGAGGAGATATATATACACACATACAGAGAGCATAAACAGGTGGGAGTTGTCTTACCATGAAATCTCTGTATTATAACTATATTAATAATTATGGATTCTCATTGTTATTGTGGTTTAAAGTGAGTGCCCAAACAAAGGGTTTCTCCCAGGCAGTAGGGAAGGCAACTATCTACTTGTCCCCAATGAAATTAAGCAAAGGGTCACCCAAAACAAGGGAAGCTTTATTTATATAGACATCAGTAGGGGAATGGTAAGTCCACAGAAAGGGAAGAACAGCATAAGGTCATCCTGCCTCTTGAAACAAGATAATTGAACTTTGGAAGATATATGCAAGAACAGAAACCATCTTTGCCATCCATCACTAGACAAACAAAAGACAACAGTTGAAATTTGACCCAGGTGAAAACTTGACAATGGTTAGGCTGGTGGTGTGCTGAGAGCACAATCTGTCATGCTAACCATCTACTCCCCTGTCTATATCCCTCTGTTGTTTCTTGTCTTCTACTTAGATTGTAAGTTCTCTGGGGGCAGTGACTGTCTTTCTCTGAGTTTGTACAGCGCCTAGCACAATGGAGCCATGGACCATGAGTAGGAATCCCAGGTGCAATGATACAACTACTGATGTGCCTGGTGTGATAAGTGCCTGTTGTATTTTGCACAACATCTGTGAGACCCAGGTTAAAATCCTGGAGGATTGTTAGACAGGAACTGGATAAAACTTCTCAAAATTATGGGCAGCAAGAGAGCCCCCCCCCCCGCAAAATGGTCCAAGTGGTTAAGGGAAGAGAGTGGGGGTGTCTTGTGCTTCTACTAGGATGCCACAGGAAGTTGTGGCTAATGAACACTCTGAGCACATAAAGGAGTTTTGGTTTGATTATATTCTGAATTAATAGCATGGTGTAGGAGGTATTATGCCATTTATGGGCTGAGATCTATCTGATTACGTTTTTCAGTGAAAATCGTATCCAACAGAGGAGAGTGACAAAAATGATTAAAGGTCTAGAAAACATCAACTGTGAGGAAAGATGGGGAAAAATGGGTTGGTTTAGGCTGGAGAAGAGAAGGCTGATGGTGGGGACATCCTAACATTCTTCAAGTACATAAAAGGCTGCTATAAATAGGAGGGCACTAAATGGTTCTTCTTCACCACTGAAGACAGGACTAGAAGTAAAAGGATTAAATTGCAGCAAGAGAGATTTAGACTGGATATTGGGGAAAACTTCCTAACTGTAAGACTCGTTAAGCAGTGGAACCAATTACCTAGGGAGGTTGGGGAATCTCTGTCACTGGAGGTTTTTAAGAAAGGGTCAAACAAATATCTGTCAGGGATGGTATAGATAATATTTATGCTATGTCTACATTGCAGACCTTATAGCGGCACAGCTGTATGCTGTTCTATGCCAATGGGAGAGATCTCTCCTGCTGGCATAATTAAACGAGCCCTAACGAGCGGCAGTAGGGAGAGCATCTCCCACTGACACAGCTCTGTCCATACCAGCGCTTTCGTCACACAGAAGTTTCACTGACAAAGTGCCAGTGTAGACGTAGCCTTAGTCCTGCCTTGGTGCAGGGGACTGGATTAGATGACCTATCATTCTGTGGAAGTGAATTTATTGAGTTTATCAAAAAAAGTAACTGTCTCTTAGGGGTGTGAATTTTTCACAGGCATGACCCATGTAGCTAGGGCAACCTAAGTTTTAAGAGTAGACCAGGCCAAAGGAATGTGGTGCAAACTGAAAAACTTGGGTATTGAGGGAGAGCCCCACCAAGAGGTATTCACTCCTGAAGGTGATGCATCAGAAAGCATTCTCCTTCTCCAGCTCCTGGGGGGTTGAACACAGTGGGAAGGAACTATGATAAGGTTGTTTGGAATTGTGCACCTGGTATGGTGCATTCTCTAAGGTTTGCAGGACATTGGAGCGTTGGGTCTCAGTGCTTGGCTTTTGCAGCAAAAGGTGCTTTATCACAGTTGTTTGCCTCTGCATTGTCTGCATCGTGTCCCTCCCAAAGGCCATGCGCTCCATTCTGACCTTTTGTGCATGCTCTAGGAAACCTTTCCAGCTGCTTTCAGGGCCCTCTATAGAATCATGGAAAATTCGGGTTGGAAGAGACTTCAGGTAGTGATCTAGTTTAACCCCCTGCTCAAAGCAGGACCATCCCCAACTAAATCATCCATTAACTGTATGCTCCATGGAACAGATCTATAGCTTTTTCTTATTTTTCCCTGAGATCTGACAGCCTCTCTGCAGACTACAATTCCCCTCTTCACACAGTTACACGTGCACAGGGAAATAAGAAAAAGCACAGTCATTTATGGTTCCATTCTTCATAGTCTCCGTGCCAACAATGATAAAAATGTTCTTGTTCCCATAATGTTGGAATACCATTCCCATCTTCTCTTCCAACTCCATGTTTTCCTTTGTGATAGTAAGATATTCACCCATTCTACAGACCCTCTGTTCTTTATTTGAGTGGTACACATGCGTGTGTGGGGAGGAGGGGGCAGGCTTTATATAGGTGTGTTTTTTTTAATTATATAGTTTGGAGCTGTTGGGGGTGGGTGGTGGATGACTCTTCTTTTCTAGGGTGAGAGGAGAAGTAGCAGGAGCAGGTTAATGACTGCATGTGCTCTTCTGCAGTCTTTACTGACTGCAGCTGAGTGAATAATTGATTTTTCAGTTCAGTGGCCAAACCAACAAAATCTGAAAAAAGAACTGGTTCATTTAGAGCCCAAACTGAATGTTTGTTTTTTTTCTTGCAGAAAGAAAAAAATTTGTTTTCTGATCTAATGAAAGATGAAGATAAAGAAATAGGATTTTGAAAAAATATTTAAAAAGGAACAAGTTTTGGGTGGGAAGGGGAGAAATTTCTGTTATTCATTCAGCTGTACTCAGGACAGCTTGCAGAGATGCATGTGCAGTTACTAACCTGCTGGAGTGGCTTCGCTGACTCGGTACCAGGTCCAGCACCACCTCATTTTCTCTGACAGTGCGCTGTAGATATCTGCATTCTAGTGACTCTTATCCAGAGACCTGGACCTGCTTGTCTCCAGACAGGCCAGTCAAGTCCTGGGCCTCTACATGGGTCCATGTGGAAGCAAGGGGGCCATGGTTGCTATGAGAATGTGAACTCACCTGGTACTGAAAAGAGGCACTCCTGGCTGCCTGCCAGCATTTAACCAGAGGGTACATCTGGTCAAGATGACCCCAGAGCTATGGAGCACACACAGGCATAAAGCACATTGATGAAAGTATGAAGCAATGCAGTGTGGGACACTAGCTGGAGGACTGTCAGCAGCATTAGCATTAGGAATTATTTCACAGGAATCTTACAATGAACAAACTGATTGTGAAGTGGAGCTACTCTTTCTCCAACGAGGATTAGTTACAGCAACCTAAGATGCCAAATAAGTTGCTCTGAGAACAGGGTTCATGTGGACACAAGGTATTTAAGGTGAGCTAATTACAGTTAATATGAGGTAAGATCCCTTATAGACAAGCCATAAGAGTAATTAAGTGCTTCACATTGGAACCTGTGTGTCAGATTGTTGGCATGAGGCTGACACACAAGATCTTAATTCCAAGCAGTCAGAGCAGCTCTGCTCTCTGGTATGGTACAGAACATTCCCCTGCCTCATTCCCACTAGTATTGTATCTTCAATCACAGTGACTATCACTTCCCCTTTGTGTCTATCCCACTCTACTCCTTCAAATGGTAGAGAGGAGGAATAATTCTGCAGCAGTGGCTTTTCCCTTCTGAACTCTCAGCTGTTATTTTAGTATTTTCAGATACACCTCTATCCCTATAGAACGCTGTCCTTGGGAAGAAAAAAAAAATCTTACCGCGTTATAGGTGAAACCACATTATATCGAACTTGCTTTGATCTGCCGGAGTGCGCAGCCCCGCCCCCCCCGGAGCACTGCTTTACCGCGTTATATCTGAATTTGTGTTATATTGGGTCACGTTATATCGGGGTAGAGGTGTAATATGAATTATGAAGCTCCTCCCCTCCTTGTTCTCACCCCTGTGCAGACACTTGCTATTCCTTACCCCTTATTCTCCTTTACTCCCCAGTCTCACAGATTGAGCCTCTTTCAAGCCTCCAGGCTTCATCATTGAATAGTTTCCTTTCTTTGAACTTTCACCAGTTTTTCCAATATCCTAAAATAAAGGGACAGAAATAGTACATCCTCAGCTGGAATATTGTAAGACCATGTAAACACTCTTCAGTCCCATACAGTCCTACCTGCAGGACACTCACATGCTCTGCTTTGTGTCTACCTGTTCACCCCTTGAGAATTTTGTTGGCTACCAATACACTGCAGCAGTGTCATACATTGCCCTCTTATGAAAACACTCTCTCTCATCACTGGAACACAGGAACTGGCTATGGAGTAAAGGGCTGCTGCTTATTTAACAATGTCTTTGCTGTTGAGAGATGAAGGTTCCCTTCATTTCATCCCCAGGAAGGCCTGGGGAAGGTTATGGGATGTCAGCATAACCAATACTCACTCATGGATTCATTGACTCTTTAGGTCGCATAGAGGTGAGGCTGGTTGGAGGGGACACTGCCTGCTCAGGACGTGTTGAAGTCAAACATGGAAATACATGGGAGACAGTCTGTGATTCACACTTGGATTTCAACACTGCTTCTGTTATCTGCAATGAATTAGGGTGCGGACAGGCTGTAGCTACTATAGGAGCAGCACATTTTGGAGAAGGACACGATCTGATCTGGAAGGAAGAGTTTCAATGTGTGGGGAATGAGTCTTTACTTTCAAACTGTCCCAGGATGTCCCGTCCCAATGACACATGCTCCCATACTGATGTCGTCAGCGTATTGTGTTCAGGTAAGAATTCAAAGTGTTGACTTTAACATACAACTAACATGGGCCCTACAGTGAGGCTACTCCGTCTCTTTTCTCTCACATCCATGTATTCCTCACATGAACCCACATCCCAGAAAACTTTGCATGTTTCCAAGTTGCTTCAAAGGATTCCCGTCTGCTACAAAGGGTGGATCCACTTTCTCACCACCCAGGGGGAGCCAAGAAGAGATGATGTGAATCCCATTATCTCTCTCATATTCCTCTCTATTTTAAGTGTCTCCAATAAATGGGGACAGTTCTATTTACCTTTTTCCTGCTAGAAGGATAGGGTCCCAGCAGAGCTCTGATTTCCCTTATCCTCCACTAGGGATTCAAGTTTTCCACTGTTGAGCACTTTCCTCCCTACTCAGATACATCTGTAAGGGGAAGGGGCAGGGTCTAGTGGTCAGAGCACATAACCGGAACCTAGGAGACCTGGGTTTTATTTCCAGGTCTGGTTCTGTATTCAATAATGCCGTGTACCTCAGTTTCCCCATCTGTAAAACAGTTAATTGCCTCTCAGAGAGTGGCTGTGAGGCTTACTTCATTTATGTTTGTAAAGTGCTTCCAGGCATTTGAATACATAGTGCTATGTAGGGACCAGGTGGTGGTGTTATTTTAAAAAACTTTCTTGATGGATTTGGAGTAGTTATGGCCACTTTTATGTTATTGGCCTGCAATGGAGGTTGGCTTTGTCCCACCCATTCATACAGATCTGATTATTAGAGACTAGCTGAAAACCCGTGATATTGCATGGGTGTAATTCATAAAGTCTTGTGAAGCAACAGTGCCTGCTGGAAGAAAATATTAAGCAAAAAACAGAAAGAATATGAATGCAAAACATGTAGATTGTCAAATTGCAATGTATGCACATGTGACAGCTTTGGCTCATATCATCTAACTCAGCTATACCCACCTCCCTCCCAGTTGTTTTTTAAATTACTTAGGACAGTTAATGTTTTCACGGAATTTTGAACCACACATTTCATTAATGTTGAAAGCATGTAGCCATTTTCATTCTGAGGCAGACATTAATTGAAAGACAAATGCTCGACAACTGGAGTGCCGGACAGCTCTCTTATTTAAAAATGAAACTTTATTACCAAGATGCCTTTCACCAATCTGAGTATATCACTGTACCAATACCGTATGTATTGCTAAAGTATGTTTTCACCCTGGTCTGTCTTTGGACTTTTTAACTGCCCTCTATTCCCCTGCCAATGTCTGTGTGATAATTTCAGGTTGGAAAGTCAACCTTGTAATGCACACACAAAACACACTTGCCCTCTTCTCAGCCCTGAGATGGGGGAAACTTCCCTTTATTCCCTCTTCACCAATAGCAACACTCCCCTGCTTCCTGCAGCAAGTGGGTTTGTCTTCTGCCTGGTTCCCAGCAGGAACAGTTTCCCAACTTTGCTCTCCCTGCCTCTTGCTGCCCTGGGATCCTCTTTCTGTGCTAGGGACATACATGAAGGCAGGGCTCAGTGGCAGGGCAGGTCTGTGTCCTCAGCCCTGAAGCTCTCACACAGAGCTTGGCTCAGCCCTGAAAACTGGAGTATTAGAGGAGCTTCTTGCGTCATCACACCAGCTCCTCTGATGCTTTTTGTAGGCAACAAAATCCCATGACTCCCAATCAGCTTGCGAGATCTGGAGACACTGCAAGACTGCCTTCCCCAGTCTGCCACCTAATCCCCTTCATCTCTCACCCCCATTGCTGTCTTCTGCAGCCCCCTCAGCCTTCCTGCACTTCACATCCCCCTATGTCCCTCTCAACCTCCCTTCCACCTCCACCTGCCCCACACTTTCCTCTGCCCCCCAGCCTCTCTCCTGTCCCACATCCTTCTCCATGCCATTCTGTAAAACCCATACATCTGCCTTCTGTCATTGCCCCCTAGTGGCCTGCTCCCCAAACTCTCCCCCCCCCCGTCCTTTCACATGGCCTCTGCTGCCCATCATGGTCCCTGGGTCCTGTCCAGCCCCCTCAGTCATAAAGGGGCAGCCATGTTCCCTGTGGGCTTCAGTCTAATTGAAAACAGAGGGAGCTGGCATCAACTTTACTCAGGGCAGCCTCACTCCCACACACCAGCAGACTGTAGGGAGATGGCAGCATCTTGCTGGCTTCAGCCCCAGTGACAGGAGATGGCACCATTTGGAATAAGGGAAACTCAGAGAGTTGAAAAAGGCTTACAACTTGAAAGTTGGAAAGTAAGTGACTATGAATCCCAGTGATGACTGAACCTGTTGATATTCTGAACCAGAGGAGCTCTCAGCCATGCGTGTAGCTGGCCCCAGCATTTCATGCTGACTCAGCACACTTACTAGGTGTCAGATGGACTCTGAGTGACATTCCTGAGATTTTCTTCTATGGGTAACAAAGGTCGCCTTCTTGTCAGGGCCAGGGCCTTGTCAGGACACAATCTAAATGGACGAGCTAAAAGAAGGGTGGGGCCATGTAGCGAGGTGCTTCCCTAACATCACCGCTAACGGCAGAGCCTGGAAAGGATCTGCATTGCCCACTAGCCTGTCTGTGACACACACCACTGGTCGAAAGCCCAGTCCATGGCAGCCAGCCAGATAACCTGTCACTGTGTCAATGATGAGCCCTGGCTGGCTGGCCATGATCATGCTGCCAGGTTGGGTATTAGGATGGGCTGGGGAAAATGGAAACAAAGGTCTTTCCTGAAAGGGGAAGTCCTGGAGAGAGGAAGCCAGGATTGGAGAGAGGCTGCCTTTCTGTATAGGGTGGGAGTGCCACCTCCAAGGCCCAGAAGAACTGTCCTGTCTGTTGGCAGACCCAGATCCCGGGGTAGGTGTGGTTGGTCTGTGGACAGGGCCATGTCCCAGGGCTAAGGACAACCATGGGGAGGGGCTCAGTAAGTTATGGGAGGTTTGGTGGGATTCGGGGTTGGGAGTGGGGCCCGTCTCTCCCATTGACTGGTGTCTGCCTTGGCACACTACACACATGCAGATCAGGATGAGCACGCCAGCCTGGAGGCCATTGTGTGTTTCCAGTGGTGACACACAGCTGGTGTTCCAAGATCAATGCATTCCCAGGTGCATTTGTGCACAGCTTAGAAATCCTGGCAACACCAACCCCTCCCCCGCCCCCAGCCAGTAACACCTATGGACCAGCAACTGGCAAGGCCATAGAAAACTAGCCAGGTAGTATAAGGCTGGTAGTAGGGAGAGAGGGAGACCTCAGCCCCAGGGTGCTCATTCGTACACATTTCTCTGTGTGAGCTTCTAGTAATAATAAAGCTCTCACCTCCCCATGCCCCTTTCCTCCTTTATCCCTTCAATGGTGTGTTTGACTCACTTTGGGCCTGATCCAGCAGTGGCAGCTGAGGGTGCTCAGCCTCTCACAGGATCCACTCAGCACCTTGTGAGATTGTGCCCTGTATTTGGGGGAATCTCTGTTGCTGAACGCAACATTCTGGAAGCGCCCAGGGTATCATTGGGCAACCTTAACTCTTCATTAATGATATTTTTTTACCATTTAATTCTACTCAGTCTGCTTTGAATCCCCAATTCTACCCACAATCCCAGAACAGTGCTACAACTTCGGGGCAGGAAGATAAAAAGCAAACACTGGTGTAACTGTCCTCAGAAAGCCCCAGATTGAGCACTGTTGAGTTGACTGAGGCAGTTCACAACTTTTAAGAGTTTCTGTTTCAGTGCCACCAATGGAAGCCCGAAGCAGCTCTTCACCAAGGGATCCTCCTGGAGCGGTCAATAACCACGGGGCTTAATTGCTCTCCAGCTGCAGTCACTACATTAGGTGTGGCTGTACTGAATGGTGGAGGATTACGCTGGAGCAGCTTGGGAGAGCTGTGGTTGTAATAGGAGGAGATCTGGGGATTAGTTTGAGGAGTATCAGAGAGCTGTGAATGTGATATGAGGAGATCTGGGCTTGAGTGCCCCTGTGTGTGTTATCAAAGGAAATATGTGCATATGGACCTTGAGGTTCCAGTCAGCATCATTTGTGTAGGCTATGTCAGGAGCAGGGTACTGGGTTCCTCTTGCTATAGGTATTGTCAGTAGAGAGTTAGGACATGAGAGCTGTGTGTGGATTTAATGATGGGTAGGGGAAAGTAAATGTTTAGGGGATATCTTATGTTGATGTGTAAAGGGGTGGTAAAAGTGTGGTATGCTCTCAGGGGGTAGGTTCAGTGTTTGAGCCTAGGGAAAGTGCAGATAGTGCCTGTCTATTACAGTGACCAGGCAGAGTGTCAGGTTTCAGAGTAGCAGCCGTGTTAGTCTGTATCGGCAAAAAGAAGAACAGGAGTACTTGTGGCACCTTAGAGACTAACAAATTTATTAGAGCATAAGCTTTCATGGACTACAGCCCACTTCTTCGGATGCATATAGAATGGAACATATATTGAGGAGATATATATACACACATACAGAGAGCATAAACAGGTGGGAGTTGTCTTACCAACTCTGAGAGGCCAATTAATTAAGAGAAAAAAAACTTTTGAAGTGATAATCAAGCTAGCCGAGTACAGACAGTTTGATAAGAAGTGTGAGAGTACTTACAAGGGGAGATAGAGTCAATGTTTGTAATGGCTCAGCCATTCCCAGTCCTTATTCAAACCGGAGTTGATTGTGTCTAGTTTGCATATCAATTCTAGCTCATTTTCTGTTGTAATATAGCCACCCGCAGGTCTGTCACTGAATGACCAGACAGGTTAAAGTGTTCTCCCACTGGTTTTTGAGTATTTTGATTCCTGATGTCAGATTTGTGTCCATTAATTCTTTTGCGTAGAGACTGTCCGGTTTGGCCAATGTACATGGCAGAGGGGCATTGCTGGCACATGATGGCATATATCACATTGGTAGATGTGCAGGTGAACGAGCCCCTGATGGTATGGCTGATGTGACCAGTTAAAACTAGACAGATGTTTAGTCATCCTGTTCATAAGAACTGCCAATGATGTTGTCAAGGTTCCTTCCCCACTCTAAACTCTAGGCTACAGATG